ATTAATTTTTATATATTATATATATGATTATATGATTGTATTTTAAGTTTATTTGTTTTTAATTTTATAATAAAAATAATAATTTTTTAATAAATAATTTAAGAACGAGAAGGAACTGGAAAAACAACTAACCTAGATTTGGATTGATTATTGCAAAATTTAGGCAAACTTAGCCAAATACCCAAAGGAGGAGGCTGAGGTTAAGGAGATAAGGAGAACTTTAACCACAAACATAGTTGTCCAAGGGAAAACTTATGCTGACGTAGTTAGAGGACAAGAGGGAAGGGACCCAAGGAAATCAGAGGACCATCCGATGGAGAAAAGACCCAAATATGACCATAGAAAAAACAGAAGCAGTGAGACACATAAACAAATACAATGAGAATAGATGTGGAGAATAAAGAACAGAGAAATAGATTGGTCAGGAATTGAGTACAATGTCAAAGAAGAAGATTATGAATGGTTGTGTGGATGTTATATTGGTACTACCCATTCTATGGAAATTGTTCCAAATCTATGAGAAAAGTTTTACATGGAGGGTTATTTCTTGTGTCACCTCTGAGCTATGGGGGGAAAGTTGGTGCTAATGGATTGTGAGGACAAAGAACAATTAAAAGAGTTAGTATAGGAGGCATCAAATTGGCTGGGCTAGTGGTTCTCAGAGGTTAAGCCTTGGACACCTATAATAGTGGCAAAGGAAAGGTTTGTCTAGATGAGATGCGAAGGTGATCCACTACATGCTTGGGGGCCATATTTCTTTGAGTTGATGGCATCTGCATGGGGCAAGTTTATTTGTTTCGACAATAGCACAAGCAAGAAAAAAAGGTTTGACATAGCTAGATTCTTGATATCCATGTCGATTATGGATTCAATCTCAGTTAAATGACAAATCAAAGTTAATAGTGTCATGTACAACTTAAAGTTCACAAAGGAGGAGATGACAAACATCTTGTTCTCAATGAGATTTTTTTTTTTTGAACAGAAAATAATGATATTTATTGATATATAGAGTACAAGGGGTACCCTAAACCCTTAAACATCAATAGTTGGGGGACATAAATGTACAAAAGTGGACTAACTGCCTAATAGTGTCGACACCCACATAAAGTGTCGACACTATACCCGTGTCGAGTTTATGTCCTCCTTTACAGTTTTTACATTGCTTCCTGTTTTGAACATCAAAAACTTCCACTTTTCAAATCCACTGACACGCAGAATTGTTGAGCATGTATTTTCAACAGCTTACCTAACACGCTACAGTGAAATACCTGCTCAATGAAGCCTTTATGCCTCAAACAAATTTCAGCTTGCACTCCGATCTGCAGTGTAACCTTCTTTTTGTTGTTTATGGAACAATTTCATTGCTTGTTTGTAGCTTCTCATTGACAGAGCACACGCTACAGGGTTATCCTTCCACTCATTAAATGAAAAGACAACCATTTACCTTATTCTTGATCCATAAAAATGATTTAGCTTGAATCATATTTAGTAATCTTCCCCTGATGATAGCTTCATTATCAATACCTTACCATTTCTCCAATACCATAAATACCATGATACAACTAGAAAGATAC